GGAAACCCAAGTAGGGGTCGCTATGAGTCGGGGCCGACTTGATGGCAAATACCAACAACAACAACAACATTTACAAACATAAATAAATGCATGGACTACTGTACATGGAAAAATACAAAAATATATTACCATATTTTCACTGTTTTCACACAAATAATGTGCATATTATACTTTTTCTTGCAAACCATGCAAATTGCTGGTACATTATTTTCCTATGGATGCTATGCACATTATATGCAGATGTCATGTAGGCATGTTATATGTACAAAAAAATACCTAATAGAACAAAAGGTGCCATCGATGAAGGAATATGACTACATTTCAAAAATAGGCAAAGCTAAATTACATGGACATATGTAAAATACCATGTGTTGGCAAAAGTATGGAGCAACCATAGCCATGACACTGCTGGTGGGAACCACTTGGGAAAACTCTTTACCAGATAACTGCTAAAGATGAACATATACATACTTCATACCCAGAAATTACACTTTTAGGTTTATACCCAACAAATGCATGCAATATATTCAGCAAAACACATACAGCAATATTCATAATAACACAATTTGTAATAGCTAAAAATGTTGGAAACTATATCAATGCCTATCAGTAGTTTTAAAAAGAAAAAAATAGTTGTCACTAACTTGACTCCAATTTATGGTGGCCCAGTAAATGTCATAGTAGAACTGTACTGTAGGATTTTCAATGGCTGATTTTTCAGAAGTAGATTGCCAGGACTTTATTCTGAAGCACCTTTTGAGTGGATTCACACCTGCAACATTTAGGGTGGCACCCAAAGGCATTTAAGCATTTGCACCACCAAGGACTCAATCAACAATAAAATATGTAAATAAAAATGAGATACAGTCACATAGTTGAATACTGTACTTAATTGTGAATGAATCTCACAAAGAGAACATTGAGCAAAAGAGAACAGATACCAGAGTACATATGTATGATTCCATTTAAATAATGTTCAAAAATAGGAAAAACTGAGAGTGACTCTCATGAAGGGTACTTTTGCAATGCTGCTGATGGTCTTTTCTGAATTTAGGTGTTGAGTCATGGGTTTGTTAAGTTTCTGAAATTTTACCAAGCTGTACATTTATGATATGTGAATTTTCTGCATGTATGTTTTACGTTAATACATACTTTTACAAATGAAACTCTATTGAGTAGGGGTCAATGTTTGATAAAACCATAGAAAAGAAAAAAAGGAAATGATTACCAAAGTCAAGCTAGTGGTTACCACTGGGGGAAGGAAAAAGCTGTGATGCAGAAGGGGCAAAGGCCAGGAAGTGGTTCCTGGAGATGCTATCAGTGTTCTAATTTTTGGCTTTAGTGATAATTAACAAGAGCATTCACCTTGTACTATAGAAGTATTGGATTATGTTTTAATTACATTTCTGTAGGTGTTCAATTTCAAAATTTAATGAGTAAAAAATAAGCCAAAATGAAATAAATAAACCAAAAACATAATTACTTAGGAAAATATTTATTAAATGTTGAGTGAGAAAATAAGTGTTTTAAAAAACTTAGACATATAAAAATTAAATGGACCTAGTATTTTTGGATGAACTATCATTCTACTTTTCTGAATTTTCCTGAAATAAATACATGTAACAACAACAACAAAAATATATATATTACTTTCATATAGGTATGACATGAATTCTCACTGCTGTCAAGTAGATTTGACTCGTAACAACCCCTCCTTGAGTTTCCAAGGCAGTATCCCTAAGGAAGTAGGTTGCCCAGTCTTCCTTCTAAGACACGAATAAGACTTTTTAAAATCGTATGTCTAGTTAAAAAACTTTTGAAGCATAAAATTTTTATGTCATTCAATTTTTGATATTTATCCTATCCTGGGAATTCATTTATCTCCTTTCTGCCATATTTATTTGTTTTATTAAAAACAAACAAACAAACAAAAAAAAAAAACCTCACTGCCATAGAGTCGAATCTGACTCATAGAAACCCTTCCTTGAGTTTTTGAGGCAGTGTCTCTACGGAAGTAGATTGCCTAGTCATTTTCTTCTTCTTTTTTTTTTTTTTATTGTGATTTGGTTGAAAGTTTACAGAGCGAATTCACTTTCCATACAGCAGTTCAGGTACACTTTGTCTTTTGACATTGACTGCAATTTACCACAATGAAACGGCTCCCCTTCCCTACCTCCCCATAGTTACCTCTTCCCTGTGTCCTTCCCTCCATGTACTCCTGCCCCTGAGCTGTCTCCCTGTGCATACACAGCCTTTCTGTTCTCCCATGATTGTTCTCTCCAAGGAGTGTCTCTATGTAGTGTAAATATTCACCTCATATGTCTGTCTTTTGTTTGGCTGGAAGCCACAGGAGTGGATTCAATTCTAGACCTTAAGGGCAGCTAGGAGCCATAGTCTCAGGGGTTCCGTCAGGCTCTATCAGACGAGCAAACCTGGTCCCTTTTTTTCTCTTTCCCCAAATGATTTTGAGTTTTGTTCCGCATTGTTCTTCCACTCTATCCAGGATCTCCTCCACAGATCCCCCTCAGAGTGGTTGACAGTGGTAGCAGGGCACCATCTAGTTCTGGTCTCATAGTTGCATAAGCTGAGGATTGCTGCCCAGTCTTCTTTTCGAGGAGTGGCTGGTGGATTTGAACTGCCAGCCTTCTGGTTAACAGTCAAATGCTTTATAGGATCTATTATTTAGAAACCCTATCTTTTTCATTTCATTTTAAGTAACCATTTTCTACAGGTGATTGATGTAAATGGAGTTGATGTTACTCCCCGACCTCTTTACCATCCAGATCCACATACTGGTACAGCAAAGCCAAATAAACTACTGACATCGCAAGAAGGATCACTTGGATCAGATTTTATATCTTCCTATAGCCTTTATCAGAATACAATAAATCCCAGTTTACTAGGACAGTTTACAAGGTAAAGTATATTGTTCTATAGTTTTTTAAATCATATTTATTGTTTTTCCATTTAATTGCATATATGTTAGTTAAATGTCAGTTGTTGCCAGTTTCCCAGCCCCCCTCTGTCATCTTAGCATGCTATCTCTGTGTTCCTCTCATTTCTTAATTAGAATTCTTAGAGTTCTACATGTCTTAAGAGTTTTCCCACTCTCACCAAATTATTTCTGAGCAATATAGATCTTACTGAAGATATCCTAAAGAACCAAAAGTTGGGGCTTATATCACACACCCCACAGTTAACAACTGCAATTCCAATTAAACATTTTTTTTTTTTCTGTCAAAGTTTATTCCATGTAGCAATTTATGGAAAAGGTGACTTTTCTGTTTTTCCTGCTTATGCAAATCCCTGTTGTCTTTGGGTTTTACTTTTCTCTTGGTTTATAATACAGAAGGGAGCTCTGGTGGCGTAGTGCCTAAGGCATTTGACTGCTAACCAGAAGGCTGGCGGTTCAAACCCACTAGCTACTCCCTGGAAGGAAGATTGGGCAATCTACTTCCATAGTGATACCGCCTTGGGAACCCAAGTAGGGGTCGCTATGAGTAGGGTCCAACTCGACGGCAGTGAGTTTGGTTTGGGTTTGATTTTTATAATACAGAGCAATTATATGTTGCTCTAGAGCCTGCCTCCAAATTTACATCCATAAGCCTGCAAAATAAAGGATCATCCAATAAACAGGGCCTGTTGTTGTTGTTGTTATGTACCATCGAGTGGGGCCTGACTCATAGTGACCCCTCCTTGGGTTTCCGAGGCAGTATCACTATGGAAGTAGATTGCCCCATCTTCCTTCAGAGGAGTGGCTGGTGGGTTTGAACCACCAGTGCCTTAGGCACTATGCTACCAGAGCTTCCATATATATATAGTATCTTGGAATAATGTAATATGTTTAAGGAAATTTATTTTTGGCCTTAAGTATTGATTTCCTGCTTAGTGCATAGCTTTTTTTATAAAAAATAAAATCTTGAGAGAACCTTTATAAAATCTAATAAATGGGTTGTTGCAGTGTATAAAATTACATAGTACGGCTTTTCTAGCTGTAGTCTTTATAAACTCCATGTTTACCATGAGCAACTAAGTAGCTCCTGATTGTTATAGTTATCTAGTTATCCACCTGGGGTATTTCTGTTGCTGGCAGCACCAAGCAATTTTCTGGGAAGTTCACTACCTTTCTCAGGAGCTCTGGTGGCATAATGCCTTAGGCATTTGACTGCTAACCAGAAGGTTTGCGGTTCAAACCCACCAGCCACTCCTTGGAAGGAAAATTGGGCAGTAGTGATACTGCCTTGGAAACCCAAGGAGGGGTTGCTATGACTCGGATCTAACTCCATAGCAGTGAGTTTGGTTTTTGGTTTGGTTTTCACTCTCTCTCAGGTAAGTGGAATTCTGGTGTTGGGATTGGTTGGTTTTGCCACTCTGCCGGGCTTAAAGTGAGCCCTATCTCTCACTGCTGGCGGAGGGAGATGCATGGCTGAGAGTCCTACCATGGCTAAGAGACAGACCAATTGCTGAAAAGAGAGACACCAGGCTGAGAGACGGCAGCAGCGGAACCAAGAGGCACGGAATAGAATGGCAGACTTTTTTTGGCCCACAGAGGCAGAGGCCAGACGGAAAGGCCAGTGGCCACAGAGGTGTGTCTAAGGGCAAGGCAGAGGGGAGACTGTCCTGACCGAGTAACTAAATCCTGAGCACTTTCCTGAATTTGAGTTGGAGACTGTTGCTTCCCTAATAAACTCCATAATCTGTGAGTGGTGTCTGTGAGTTCTGCGTGGCCACTGCAACAAATTGTCGAGCCCAGGAGAGAAGTATTGAGTGCCGTGGGAGGGACAGTTGCTATTAGAGTTGATGAAAGAGCTGGAGGGAGGCAGCATGTCTGGCCTCCCTGGAATAGGACTTGGACTGCTTGGTGATTCTGTCTTCCTCTTATGGAGTTAGAGGAGGTCAGAAGATGCTGCCTCCATGCTCCTTTGACAGTCGTGAAGGATGAACAGAAACTGTTAAAAAAAAAAAAAAAAAATGAAGGGAAGAATATTCTAGCCATGGTCCTGAAGTGAGAGGGAGAGCTTCATAATTTTGAATTTTTTTTTTTTTTTCAAATGGCAAAGGAGAAGAATGATAAAAAGGTGGATGGGTAAGTGGCTGTATTTTGGATTTTATAATTTTAGATTTTATTCTCAATGTGTTGGTAATCCATTGATGCACTTAAGTATAGGTTTGATATGTCTTATCTCAAGAATGTATTAAAAATGCCTTTATTTAAAGAACATTAACAATCAAATCAGTGTTTAGAATACTATTTATTCTGATAATCTACTATCTGACATAATATTTATTCTGAAATTATGTTTATTTGCTTTCTTCATCTGAATGTGTTTTAATTTATATCTTTAATTGTGTATAAGGATATCTAAATAAATGAGTAATGTTATTCATTATTAAAGGTCAGCTTTAGGAAGCAGTACTGTTTCTAAGTCAAGTATATCAACAACTGAATCAATAGCAGAAGACCTAGAAGAGCCATCCTATAAAAGAGAAAGATTGACTAGTTATACAGGTAATGAAAATTTATTCATATTTTTCAGTAACATTTTCTGTTTAGCAAATATACTTATTATATGTCAAGTTCTTGAGATAAAAGAACTCTGTTAATGATTTCAAAATAGTGGCATATGAGAACTACCAGGAAAGTGTGTATATATTTTTTAAAGTTTCTGAAGAGACTCTTTTGGTTTGCACAACCAGACATATGAACAACTAAAAAAAAAAAAAAAAAAAAAGGAACCACTGGCCCTGTTTTAAAGGAACTCAACTTTTATGACAAATCATTGTGATAATTCTGGTACAGTGTGATCAGTGTCATAAGACAAACTATGCAGGATGTATAAGGGCACTTAGAAAGGAGTGATTAACTCCTCTGAACTGAAAAAACTACAGAAGACTTCACAGAGAACATGACTGAGTTTTGAATTAGATGTTTAAAGATGAATAGGAATTTGGCAGAAGAAGTAAGGGAAGCCCCATCCAGGCAGAGGATAAAATGTGAGGTGATGCAAAGGATTATGAAAGTGAAGATACAAGAATAAGGAAATAATGGATGGTGAAAATTACTGGCAGTTTCAACATTTTTTACATGTATAATTCAGTAACATTCATCATGTTGTGCAACCATCACTACTATCTGTTGGCAAATGTTTTGTTATACTTACACTTAAACCACAGTGAAAATAAAACATAAAGAAATGGGTAGTACCTTGAGGGTCATGTGCCTTGGAATACACTAAAGGTATCTTTCATTTATGATGATGATGAGAGACTGGTAGACATATTGATAAGGTGGGAAAACTGATATTTGTTGAACTCTTCTTTTGGGAACTCTTCTTTAGGAAATGTAACTGACAGGAATGCTTTTTACAGGTAATGGAATACCCTACCAACATTAGCCTAAACAAATAAAGACTTATTTTTTCTCACTTTAAAAGAAGTTAAGAATAGTGGGTAGTTTGGGGCTTTGATTTTTTTTTTTTTTTCACTCAGTTATGTCAGGCTCTGGATTGTCAGTTCTGCTGTTCTTTCTCCATATGCCTTTTCTTCTTGCCTCATGGTCTCAAAATAAATCTCCAACTCTGGACATTATATCTGCATTAAAGGCAGAAAGAAGGTAAAGGGAGTAGAACCAGTAACATCCTCCTAATTTATCAGGAAAGTAAAAGCTCTCCCAGAAGCCTTCCCTAGTCTTACATTCTTGCACTTTTATCTTATGCATGACCCATCACAGCATTTCTGTGACTAGAAGAAAAAAGACAACTTGGAAAATAACAATTAGTAAATGATTTTTATTAAGTCATATCTTTTAGATTTACGAGTTGTGAGGACAGCACCTGAAAAAATAGTAACAAAAGACGACTTGGAGAAGAATATAGAGATAATACTTGAAGAGACAGAAACACTGAGAATTTTTGACCTGCCAACAGTCATGGTTTCTGTAGAATCTGAAGAAGCTGAGAAAGTAAAGTATGTATAAATTGTCTACAATGCTTTGGTAATTGAAATGCTAAATCATGTTCTTGTCTTTGTTTCTGTGACAGATTCTGGATAAATATTGGGGGTGTATGTGCCCAGTGAAAGTATATGTAAAGATACATGTTTATGTTGTATTGCATTTTTCTAAAGGAAAATGCTATAGCTTTTGTTGTTGTTGTTGTTATGTGCCGTCGAGTCAGACTGGACTCATAGCAACCCCTCCTTGGTTTCCGAGGCAGTATCACTACGGAAGTAGATTGCCCCATCTTCCTTCCAAGGAGTGGCTGGTGGGTTTGAACCACCAGCCTTCTGGTTAGCAGTCAAG